AAACGAAAAGATTTAAAGAATTTAATGGAGGCAAAAATAAAAGCAGAGCAAATATACACTACATTACAGTAGTTAAACTTGCTTATATATTTTTTCCCCCAATTTGACTATTTCATTATATGAATTCTCTGACCGGAATCCAAATAACTCTACTGGTTTGATTTTTATCTACAGACTCAGTCATCAAATTTTGAAAGGTTACAACACATTACATTTTGTATTCAATTATTACTAATCATAAAACAAAACACTGTTATTTTAAAATTAGAGAAAAAATTCCAGAATGTTCAATTTAAAGATTCAGCTAATTTTACTGCTAGAATATGTAAATTTGATGCCTTGACAATAAGTTAGTATGTCTTATTTTATCCACAATGCCACCAAGTAAATGTCTTTGCTACCCAGTTCTTGCTCCTCTGTCAGCATGTCAAACACCTTCTACAAATCTTTTGAGCTTAAATAGCAATAAATTACTACTGGAATAGTAGTTAAAACAGAGGTCAACAAATAAAACAACAATTTTAAGAAGTTCTTGAGAATATTAATAGGTAACAAATTAAGAAAGAAAAGATTAAATTTATTTTATTTGGAATCTAAAGTATAACTTCCCTTGGACACTACTAGAAAATTCTGAATCATGATACACAGATATTCTGATGACTGCACACATCAGTGACTGAGAACTGCCAGGCTGGACTGAACACATACACCAAAGGTACAAGGTCCTCTCTTTTCTACTTTAACATTAACAGAAGCAGGCTATCTTTTGTCACTACTATGCCTTTTTACAACACTTCCATATCTAAACAGTTAGTAAGGGTCTCCCAACACTTACCCTAAGCTGTCTTGTTTTGGCTAAATTACAAATTACATACTTTTCTTCCTTATAATCAGTAGTATGTAGGAGCTGAATCATATCTGGCTCATGAGAGCCAATTGTACACATCTCTTCCAAAATCTGCATTCAGTGACATCATTGTTGATAGCCTGAAATCGACCATGGTATTTACACCATGGAACTCAGGAAATGCTACAAGTAAAGGCC